TTGCTCAAATTGACATGAAGAAAAGCTCTTTAAACATAAGTCTAATTCACTTAAAAGTGAGATGAAAAGGAAATCCCCTGCACATGTGAGACTTTATCCATTGCTGGTTAATATGCAACCATTAGTTGCAATGGTTTGCTGACTAATGTGTACCTGTTGAAATTCTAGAATGACATGCCCTGCCAATTCATGTCTCCCCAACTCCCACGTGTTATTCACAGCTGAATATGCAAATTATGTTTTCTTCCTCAGTTCCTGATTTTTCAATTCCAAAACTGATACAGTTTCCCCTTCACTTGCAATGTGCATCAAGAGTTTCTGCAAATGCTATGAAATCTAAGGTTAAAGGCATTTTCAAGAAATACAAATCAAATTGGGCAGAAGTTCTTTGTAGAATAATCTGTATTTGACAATAACAAAGTATACACCTCTTGAAGAAAAATAAAAATAAAAATAAAAAACAAAAAACAAAAACAGCAAAGAGGAGCAATTGGCTTGTACTAATTATTAATTTCTTGGGAAAAAAAAAATGCAACGACATCATAAACTGTCAGCCCAGCATACAGGGCAGCCTGATTTTTCTGTAAAGTCCATGAACATGTTTCATTTCGTTAGTATCAGTCCAAATAGCCAGTCATGCCCTAACGACTTTCTGGGGCAAAACCAGTGGTTTTCACCAATAAAGATCAGAGGGCTCATAAGTGCCAACAGCAAAGTTGTGCTGCAGGAGAGAGAGGCCAGAATTGAGATTGAAAGTGTTGGGCAGTTTTCACAAGAATTTGCACAGGGTCAGCACAATATTAAATTCTAATATCAGTGGTGAGCAGAAGTCCAAAAGCAGAATGCTCTGAGATGGACGTTGACCAGGCTGTAGCTCCCTGGTGAAAAACGGAGTAGGGAAGAGATGATTGCCAGTACCACCATACAAAGAGGCACAAGTATGTCCCATCACAAGATCAGGGATGAACAGCCAACCTCTAAGTCTGCATCTGCACGGATAGGGAGGATGTCCACACTTCAAGGCTGATTTGGGAAGGTTCAGCTCCTGCAATATGACTACTGTTGGAGCAACTTAGCATTTTCCTCCCTTTCTAATTTCACTTTAAGAGTGGGAGATTCAACTGGACAGAAGAAACTCAGGGATGGGAATAAATGATGTGGAATTCTGAGACCTAGTGAAGGCTTTCTTAGAATCTGCTTAAACCAGAGACCAGACAGGAGACAGAAATGTGGACCTATTATGGTGCCAAGTTAGAATGCCTGGAGAACATCTAGCATGGCAAAATGCTCCAGCTGTCCTTGAAGAGGGTAGCCAGTGCAGGCATGTTCTTGAAAGGACAGCAAGGCAGCTGAGGAGTATGCAAGCCTCCCTGCAGGGTGCAGGTGTTGAGGGGCAATGTCTCTACAAACACCAGGGCCATCCTCCAGCGCAAGAGATCACTGAAGAGTGCAGATGTGGAGTGGGGGACCCAAACACAGCAGCCTAGTGAGTTAGAGAAACACACATCTGACAGTGAGACAGGATCACTAAAATGGCTGCTGTTGAAGAGGTATACTGCTCAAGGAGGAAATAAAAAGTCATATTGTTAGAGCCAGAAAACAAATATATGAATTCAGAATGAAGTTGATGAGGAAAGATACGCTTATGAACAAGAGCTTAGTGGTGTGAGAAAAGATACAGTAAAGACAAAAAGGACTGTAAAAATGCTTTGAGTCATGGAAATGCATCCTTTACTAGACAGAACATAGATATGAAGACTGCTTATTTTGGATTACAAATAAAGATAGGGCTGATGCAAAATGGTATTAACTTTATTTTGTTTTGGATCACAATAACAAGAATACTAAGTAATGAATGATAGCTTGAAGTCAACTTCTAATTAGTTTGATGTCTGTTGGACTCAATGATCCTTATGGGTCAATTCCACCTCAGGATATTCTATCATTCTGTGAGATTCATTTCATCAACATTTCTGAGTCCACATTTCTGGCTTTCATAACATGGATAATAAAACTGAAAAGTGGATCAACGGATTGGGAACAATCAAAGAAAATGTTTTGGGTTTACACTGCTCATCAGTAACATTTTCAAGACATTTCTGCCAAATACAGTTGGGACAAAGATTTATGGTTGGTGAGCATATATAGCTGAAGATCCTGCTTTAAAGATGAAAAGAGTCTGTACTTAAAATAGCTGTTCGTAGCTTGGAAAAAAAAAATACCAACACTTTCCACTAACCAGGATACTGTGAAATTATTGAGATCTGCTTCACTTTTCACTGAAGCAGACAGTACTGGAAGTTTTGAGAGGGTGAAGTCTTACAGCTGTGGCATAGTAGTGGACATTGCAACACAGAAAAACTTCTGCATTCTCAAGAAAGTTGTATTTCACCCAAATAATGGGTTTCTGTACATGATCATAGAATGGCATGGAGGTGCCACCCATCTTGAAGAAAACAGTCTTTCTATGATTAGTTAGCTGTCTCCTGCCCAAGGAAAAGAAGCTCTGTCAACAGCTGACAAATATTTTTAAAACTTATTTGGAAAAATCACCAATGAGATTTACTAAACTCCTAGCACAATAACTAGTGTTTCCTTATCCTCACGAGATGGCTTATTTACAAAATAAAAATCAAATACAGCTTCCAGCTACTTCCTTGGTAATATTTTCATGCTTTGTTGTAACACAAAGCACAGTCACTGAAAATTGGATGGGTAATTTTTAGTTCTGAACCATGCTGTTGATAAGAACAAAAAAGTATAGGTGAAGTTTTTCATGAGATTACTTAACATGAGGACTTCTGAACTTCTCTCTTGATTTATTAAAGCTCTGTTCCGCTTGAATCTCTGATATATGGAATTTCAAGAAGAATGATGTCTCTGGGAGGATGCAAAGGCAAGGTGAATTTTTGATGGGAAGTTAATATCAGCAATGAAATAGGGCAGCTTCTGCTGTTTCATAACATAAACCTTCCTGAGAGGCTGAGTAGGTTTTGCATCTCCTTAATGAAGATATATTTTTTCAATTTAAAATCTTATGCAAGTGAAATACTGCTTTCACTGATGATCACAGATGGAAATCAATTCAGTATTACATGTTCTGAAATAGATCCCATAAATTGTCTCCACTCCTTGATTTCAATAAAAGCCTGACAACCCACACAGCTGAGGCTCTGTCTCTCTATTTGGACAGCAGATGGTATTCTGACTACCAGCTTATAAACAGAGTAGGTGAGCTGGAAGCAAGGATAAGCCTGAGAGAGATCTACAGACATCTGATTAATATGACATTTCTTTCTTCATAGCATCTGATTTTCAGAAGCTCTTGAGAATTTAGTGTTCAAATCTCTGAGATCCATGATATACTGTACTATACAAGGTCATTCATGTCACAGAAAACTTTATGGGCAACAGCTCTCACTGTCAGAGGGCATTCAATATGTGCAGACACAGGGTACTTCACAGGCTGAAAACTACATTTGTTTTTGGCTGTAACGCTGTAGGCCTAGTCTCACAAACTGCTGGGAGCACAATTTATCTTACTTGCACTGAATGATTCATGGGAAAGTACAGCAAAGGTGAGTCCTCTGTCTCAGGGAGGGAAACTGATGTGGTGAAATTAAGGCGTTAGCACTGGACCAGAGGCTGATTCTGCTGGAGTGATGACAGCAGCTCAGTGGCTGCTGGAAAAGTGTTCACTGCATTATACCTTGCAAGGCTCATTTCCCCTGACTTTGAACGTAGGGGCAGTGAAAACTGGTACCAGCATGCATAGCTCATAAAGAAATCACTCTTAGCTGGAAAGTGAACCAGCCTCTTGGGCCTGCAAAGCTGGGCTATGTGTACGCAGACCGCCCTTTAACCTCTATGTCTTACTGTACCAGTGATACACCATTGCCCATTTTGTGGTTGATGTTTATCAACTTTCAGGTCCACAGTAACATTTCTGCCCTCAAAACAGCCTCCATAGGAAAAATAAACATTTATTTGTATAGCCATGCAGACACCAATCACTGGCTACCAAGTTTCTCATCTGGGGAGGTCTACAGCTTTAACTCTGCTGCATCCAAGCTAAAAAACCTGACAAGATTTAAACTCCTAGTACAGCTAGAATCTCCTTCAAAATTCTCTCCTCCCAGGGCAGTGATGAAAGATGCTAGAGTAGGTGATGAGGAAGCAGATGCCCTGCCAACTTATTCTCCTAGTGGGTAATAACAAACAAGAAGATTTGGGTGATGCACAACCATGCTTAGGGACCCTCTCTTGCCCTCTCTTGCTCTACAGTCCAAGGACATATCTTGAGAAACATCAAAGTGTTCAAAGGAGGAGAAGCAACTCAGTCTCTGGTTTTCATTAAGCTTTGCAAAGGACAGACACTGAAAGCTGGCCTACTATATGCCTATGAAAACGCTTGCTGTTCTCTCCTCAAATTAAGCTAACAAAAATTATTCATATAGCAAACAGAGCCAGATCTCAGATAAGATAGATTTATATATATATATATATATAATATATTTATATATATATATATATATATATGTTAGAAGATACAAGGGTTTTTTTTTTAAGACTTACAAATAATTTTGTGGGCTTACTCCAAGCCCCCAGATCTGATTTGGTAACATCACTCTCATCTTGGAGGAGAATATGGATTAGTGTTGAGGGCAGCTGGGCTCAGGTGAGGGGACATCTGGACAGCCAGAGCCTGCTGGAAGTCCCTATGAATCTAGTAGAGCATGGGAATCTCTAGTAGAACATGGGAAGTTCTCAGAAAGCAGAGTCAAAGAGGACAAAAGATGTGCAGTACACAAATACGCCTAACATTAATTACTGAAGGTTTTCATTCCCACACTAGTGGAAGAATAACAGCCTTAATTTTGACAGTGAGCTTTTTAGAATTAAGTGGAAGAAGCTGCACAGATATCAAAGGAAAAAAACTCACCTATAATCATTAGACAACACTAATTGCAGGGAAATCCTGTGTGTGTATCTGTGGATGGATGAATGCATGTCTATCTACAAACACATTGATTGAGTTGTTCATGTATTATGACTTCTCAATTAAGTAAAAATAGATGTGGCAATAAACTGTGAGGGAGCTGTATCCACACCATTCAGTGTCTGTGAAAATATGTTTTCCTTTGGCTTCAGTGTACACAATCTGCAGCCATGTTTGGTACTCAGAGTAGACAGTAAATGATGTCTTTGATTTTTTTCACTTTGATATAATAATTTTGGAGTACACAACCATTTGCTCCTCTTTCTTTTCCAGTGCAAAGATAGTCACAGGCTTATCGGTGTAGGAGAAAGTTCTCAAGCGGCTCAGGCAGGTGCAGCTTATGGATCGCATATAGGCACGATCGACCCAGTTGCTTTCTGATACACAATCGGCACAGCTGGGCAAGGCTGGCAGGGCCTGGAAGACAAGAAAAAAAACAAAAGAGCAAGCACCCTCATCCCCAGTATAAGTCAGAAGGTAACAAACAGCAGCAAGGTTTGAAAATCAAATTGAGAACCGCACAACAACTTTCTGAAAGTTAAGGAGAGCAACATACACTGCTGACCTATTTTGCCAAAACTGATTCAGCAGCTCGAAACCTATGAACACTAAAAGCATTTTTTGCATGCACAGCTAGGCTTTTCTGAATCTTCTCTTGAGCAAATACTAAAAGTTCCATATAGAATTTTGCACTAGAGACAGTGCCAGGACGTATAGCTCTTGTGCAGGGTTTGGCACTTCCTGAGCCATGAGGGAAATGTTGCACTCTGTGACAATATGTTATTATAAACTGGAGAGCCCACTGACAGCAAAGTTGTCCACAGACTCATTTTGTGGGTGTTTGCATGTCACCACAGACCATGGTGCTGTCCCCAGTGGGGTGAACAGGATAGAGCTCCCAGCCCCAGAGGAGATTCACCAAAGTCTGCTTTTACTACAGGAAAATGGAGGCACCTAAGCTGGTTGCTAATTCCCCTCAGAGAATAAATTTATAGAAATTTGTAGGATTTGTAGAAAAGAGTACTTGAGCTACCATCACTGAAGGGAGAAAAGAAGCTATCACCTCCCACGACAATTAAGAAAATGGAAACATTTTATATTTCACATCAAATAATAGGTTGGAAGATGAACATTTAAAAGAAGACATGTAAATAATAAGCACGGAAGAAAAGTCAGGAGGAATAAAGAAAACTCTTGAAGGGAATTCCCTAGGGCCCTTCTTTCAAACAGAAGGACGTCGGAAAACACAGATGAGGTGAGGGAGTTGTAGATGTTGGATACAGAAAAGTGTCTGCAAGTAAGACTGAAGGAGTATATATAAGGTACAAAGAAATCTTCACTTCTGAGAAGGGAAGAGCCAGCAGTAATTGACAGACCCTATGGCCCACCTGATTGTGAGGGAGGATGGGGGTACAACTTCAGAGTAAAAATCAAGCAGAGGTTCAGGAAGGGAGGAGATTTTTAATACTGGCATAGTTATTTATCTACAGAAGCTCTTAATTACACCAGGCAACTGAAGTGAGACACCTGCCTTTGCTCAGGCCTGAACACCTCAGACACAGGGACGGAAGTCACAAGAAGTGAGAAGCATTGAAGCAAATGTCCTCCAGAAGTCTTTGAACGTGACAATGATAGAACCTGAGGGAATGTCATGGAGCTGTGTCAGGGGACGGGCTGCTGGGGGTTAGGGAAAGGTTCTTCACCCAAGGGAGGTGGGCATGGCTCCAATTGTCAGAGGTCAAGGAATGTTTGGACAAAGCTCTCACACACAAGGTTTGAATTTGGGGTGGTCCTGTGTGGAGCTGGGAGTTAGAATAGATGATCCTTTGGGGTCTTGTCCAACTCATGTAATTCTACAACCTTTCTATGACATTCTGTGACAAATTAAATCACCATGTGAAATGTGGTGAAAGAGAGAGGGACAGAAGAATCTTGGACCAATGTTTCACTTCCTCCATAAAACTCACCTGCATGCAGAGGCCAACACAAAGCTTATACACCCCACTGACATTAATTACCATTCAAGAGCTCTTAGGCTTTCTATGCAAATTGTATTGCTCACCACAGGCAGGGAGTGAGCTGTGACCAGGAAGGCAGAAGCCTGGGGCACAGACCAGCTAGCAGGAGACAACTGAGCTAGGAAACATGGAGATTAGAGGACAGGGAGAATTAACAAAGCATGTCTCTTCTCCAGGGGTGGAGATGCGCAAAGTTTTGGTTATATGGGGCAGAAGTGAAAATAGCACAAGAAGTGTTAGATTTATTTCTGCTTAGAAGTTTATTCAATTAGATTGGGAAGATAACTAGAAATATTGGAGAGCCTGCATGTAAGCTGCAAAGGGTATTACTGGTTTCTGCTTGGATCGCAGTCCCATAAACATACATTTGTTGGCATTTTTTTGTTTTTGTTTTGTTTTTGTTTTTTCCAGGAAGAAGGTCATTGCACCACAGTACTTATCTGAACATAAGATACTAAAATAGCTGTGATAATATCTGTGAGTAAACTCTCATGGCAGTTTTCAATCCTCAGTCCTTAGAGTCTTGGCTCGTAAATAATTTACCTTCGATAAATGGAAAACAAAGGCACAGAATAACTAGCCAATTTGCTCACTAAAACTCTAATTTGGCAGCAGATCTGGCAAGAAAACAGAGATTGCTTGCTCATTTCTGTGTAGTGTGATACAGGCTTGAAATCAAAAGAGAACTTACAGACAAGATTAAGTTCATTAAGAAAACGGCTTTAGGTAAAAAATTAATACTGTTCTACTTTGAAACGACAAAGGGGAAAAGGCAAAGGGGAAAAGGCAAAAGAAACCTTTACCTTCACAAAGTAGAAGTGCCTGCTCCACTTTGCTGTTGGGTATGGCAAGGTCCAGGGCACATTTGAGTTCAGCATTTCTGCATTTCAGGTTAGCACCATAGTCTGCCAGCAAGACAACTATCTCTGCACTGGATTTCCTTGCTGCTGCATGGAGAGGAGTGTCTAGTAGCTTCCCTGCATTGACATTGGCTCCTTGGGAGAAGAAGAATGCAGGGTTGGTTCAAGGAAAAAGCAAGAAATATCTGACTTTGCACTACACAGATTGGATATCCACTGTTAGCCTCAATAAATGAAGGGGATGAGTGGCACCCAGGCCTCTGTGACAACTCTGTGACATCAGTGCAAAACTCAGATCAAATATTCTCTGTATAAGTGTCTACTGGTCCACTGAGTCCTCTCTACAACAGGCGAAGCTGGTCAACCATTGAAGTTCTTAGACTGTCAACCCAATAGATGATCACAGAATCATAGAATCATAGAATCATAGTATCATAGAATCATAGAATCATAGAATCATAGAATGGCCTGGGTTGAAAAGGACCACGATCATTTAGTCTCAACACACCTGCTATGTGCATGGTTGCAAACCACTAGACCAGGCTGCCCAGAGCCACATCCAGCCTGGCCTTGAATGATCACTGATCAAAACCTATGACAAATTTGTTAGTATTAAACAATCTATCTTAGATTATGTTAGTTTAGTTAGAGGGAGGAAAACACCCTTTAGGTGCCTGTAATAACTTTGAGAGCACAGCTAGCAAAATGGTTGCCCTGAGCTAGCCATGTGCAGCAGAGCCGTACTTCCAGCAAGCATCAACAGTAGAAATTTACACTATCTTATATATTGTGTCTGGGCCTACAGAGATTATTTTTTCAAGCATCTTTACTGCTGTTTTCATCATTAGCTGAGAAGAAAATGAGGTTAATGCTTAGCATGGCAGTTTAATTTTTCATAATCAAAAGACTTGATTTTGGTCATCAATAATAGCTGATATTTTCTGTTTCCTGCCATTGTTTTAGAAAACTCTGGTTTACTTTCACATACAAATGGTCTTAGGTAGATCTCTGTAATTAGAATTTTCCAGTAGGGAGATTCTAATTTCAAAGAATCATAAAGATTGGAGAACCCCACTAAAATAATTAAGTCCAACTGTCAGCCCATCCTCACCATGCCCACTAACCATATCCCTCAGCACCACATCTATACGGTTCTTCAACATCTCCCAGGATGGTGATTCCACCACCTCCCTGGATGTGTATTCTTCATGAATACAAGTGAAATTTTAATTATCTCACAGATTCAAGCTGTCCAAAAATCTCTTGCAGAAATCCTTCAAAATGTTTATGACATAGGAGTAACTTGGATGGAATTGGGATGGCTTACACTACCCTAGCTCTCCCCCAGCTCCTTCTCTGGACGTACCAAGTTCCAACAGCTTCTTGACACAGTCTGTCCTCTGGTACATGCAAGCAACATACAGCAGGGTCCCATAGTGCACATCTTCTTCATCAATGTCAACTCCATGAGCCAGAAGAACTTCCATGCACTCTCGGTGTCCTGTGCAGCAAAAGAGAACTATCACTTAATTGCAGTGACACAGTGCAGAATACACCCAAGTACAATCAATGAGGCATAAGAGCTGGGAGTAAGCCAAGCACATTTATCTGTGTTGTATAAGTTTTTTGGGGGGGAAGTAAATGTTTTGAAGCCAATAAGAGATGCATTGCACACTTAGTTGCTGTTAGCTTCACTCACAGACTGTTACCTCTCTTGACTGCCTCATGAATGGGTGAAGCAAGGTGGTTCCCGACCTGTGGCTTGGCTCCAAATTCAAGCAGCATGTTTACACAAGCCACAGAGCCACTGCAGCAGGCATTAAAGAGAGGAGTGATCCCATCAATGGTGACTGCGTTGACCTGAAACAGCAGGACATGCTCAGAACAATCCAGTATAAGAGCAACGCCCTTACAGCATGCGTCATGTGCTCAACTAGAATGCTTGTCGTTTAATGTCAGAGTTGATTTGGTTTGCAGCTTTCAAAGTGTGAGACAACACATATAACATTCTCCTTTGAGCTCTGCTCTCTTTCCCAGGCACTTAGTGCCATAAGGCCACATCATTGCTTGTTATGAGTGACCCTCCTAGGGTTGCTCAGAAAATGCAGATTATTTCTTTTTAATGCAGAAAACCTGAGTATTGCCTATTTTATACCAGCCTAAGTCCATTACATGCTCAGACAACTCTGATGTTTAAATGAAAATATAGTTCACGTTTAATACATTCATCTGAAAACACATTTCCAGCAAAGGACATATTCACAGAAACACTGTCATAATCCCAAACAGAAAAAGAGGTCAAAATGGTTTGTGTTTATGCACATATGTGTGTGTAAGACAGAAAGCATTTCCTTCCTTGACATCCAATATAGATACCTGGCAAGAGCCATCATCTGTGGTTCTCCACTGGGAGAGCATAGTCCTGTGTTGTGCTGTGCTGCAGCAGCTGTAAGGTCTGTCTGCCTAGCAAACACTCAGAGACAATTTATGCAGCAAATCTGCATTCCTTTATTTATTATTATTATTATTATTATTATTATTCTGCAAGATGAACAAAGAACAATGGGTTCTGCGAGCATACAGCACAACATACAGAGATAGGAGATAAAGGGCTAGAGTTAGGCTCTGCCCATAGCCTGTAGTGCCGCCTGGGGTTGTTGTGGCCAAAGTGCACTAGGTCTTGTTGAACTTAAAGGCAAGCATCAAATTGGAACATGAAAACCAAAAGACTTTATGTACCACGAACAGGTTGTTTTTCATAGGTCAGCAACAAACAGTTCAGAGATGATTCTTCTATTTAAGAAAAGGTAGTGCCACCTTCTAATTAAGAAAAGGTAATGCCACTTGTATAACAAAATCAAGTAAAATTGAGCAGAAAGTTTCTTCTTCATCTTTCAATGAGACTGAAATTGGTTGTACAGTATAGGAAGTTAATTAATGTATTTTCTTCTGCAAGATAGCCTGATTTCCAGTTTTAGTGTTGCCCAGTTTCTTGCCATGTGAACAGTGCTTGAAAAGTGTGTAACCCAGCTGAATGAAACATGCTCTCATATATATCATCCTATTTGGGTATCTCAGTTTTTAATGTGTATCCTACCTGAGATCCAGCTGGGGAAGTTATTTCAATAATGGATAAGCTGTCTCATTTATTTAAGCACATCTATTTTTACTTACATGACATTCCCAAAATATTCCTCAGAAAACCAGAGGCAATTTTAATGATGACTATGGGGGAAAACAAAACAAAACAAAACAAAAACCCGTATGTAATTTTCCCTGGGGTGATTGCCACCAGCCCAGGACTCACGTGTGCGCCGTTCTCCAGCAGCAGCTTTGCACAGGCCACATGGCCACCCAGACAGGCTTCATGAAGAGCTGAGACTCGATCTGTTGTTACCAGGTTCACATTGAAACCCTGCAAGGTAGAGTATGGGGCATGAGGAGAGAGCCTGGCCAAACTCCGTGGCAATCCTGGGGCACCAGCAGTGATTGGGCCCTGGACAGAGAGGTAGGTAGTGGCTAGGAATGCATGTGGGTCCTGTTACTGCTGTCTGCTGCTTATCCCCAGGCCTTGTAGCTGGTAATGGTTATAGTTCAGAATTCAGTTGGACCCTTGGGCTCCATCATTTTGGGGAAACAGGCACCCTTAGGATCTGATTTCGCTTATCTCAAAGTAGTTTTCGGTTAGGTGGGTTCCATGCTAAAAATACATACACTGACTATATTGAGTTCCCAGTGTAGTTCACAGAATCATACAATTGTAGAATGGTAAAATCATAGATTGGTTGGGTTGGAAGGGGTTTTACACTGGAAGAAAAGAATTGGAATCACAATGCTTCACTATCAGCATTTCCCACAAATGACGGTTCTTGTATGTCTTCCCACAGAAACAGACACCAGGTTTATTCGCAAGAAACCAAGAAGCTGCCATGTGTGCTGTCCCCAAAATGCAGCTGAATCTCCTCGCGATATTTCACAGCCGCATGTGAGAACGGGCCTTGAAGTAGGACTGAGTGTCTTCCGTAAGACCATTTCCCCTCTGTTCACTGTGCTATAGAGCTGGCAGCTCACGAGATGGCAGCAGTGCACTGTTTAGTACGCAGCTACAAAGGCTTTCAGTAGACGTTAATATCAGTGAGCAACATAACACTGTAAAAGTCACCAATCCTGCTGCAATAAGCATTAAAAACAACCACTGTAATCACTTCAAGATAGAAATGTAGTGATAGGAAAACAATCATTTTTTCAGCAGTGTGAAAGCACTGTTCATGTGAAGGCTGTAGATAAATTTTTCCTGCACATTACATCAATGCATAAGAGCAGATAAAATCTTTTTTAAAATGTTGAGACTATTCCATTTTATAATTATATAGATATTTTATGCTTACTGATGAGTACACTCCTTCAAGAGAGATTTTTTCTAGAGGCTCCTGATAAGAAGAGAGGTATTCTTATTAATTATTCAGACATAAATTTAACAAATTAAAATAATTCCTTGCAAATGAATGAATAAGTACCAATATCTTGGATAAAACAGCTGTCCCCTCCATTACTAAATGGAGACCAAGTTATAGATCTTTCTATAGCTATCTGCAAAATAATGTTGGCATTAAGCTTGTTCTCATGCGAGTATGCATTCTTACTAGTATATCTCAAAAACAAGATGCTACTTTCAGTGCTAGATCAAGCCTTGCTGAGTCCTTGAGCTTTCTTAAAACTTCAGTGCTCCATCTCCTCAAAGGCACAAACAGCTCCTTATATTTATCCCTTGGAGAGCAGAAGCCTTTCTCACTATCTAAAGAACTGTAATCCAAAGGTAAAGATTTTGAGTGTCCCATACATACCCTAAATTATAGCTCTCCATTTCATTTTAGGCTAATAGCATAGCTATTAGGCAATATCTATGGTACTCCGTGAAGAACTTTACCATACTAGTGACTCATCTCCATTTCAGACTCCATAGACATTACTGCATCTATCTCATTCCATCAGCAAGGACCCTCATTCTTTGCTCCTAAAATAATGTCTTTGGGAACAGAACAAAGGGTAGATTAAATAAAAAATGTATAGCAGTAACATCTGGCAGTTCTCCTATGTATAACCATAACTAGTGAAGAACAGAGGCCTCCACTGTTAAACCACAACACCAGGTGCCTGCCATGACCAGGATGGTGTAAAGACAGAACAGATGAAGATAGAAGGGATCTACCACTTCTTATTGTATAAAATGGCTTTACAAAGGGAACTAGATGAGTGAGAACATTGGGAAATCAGCAACAGGTGGAGGAAATTACTCACTTTTGCCAGACTAGGGACCTGGGTTTGAATAAGGGTGATAAGGAGAAAAAATGGCAAAGCACAACTGTGACCTCCTTACAGTTGTTTATATTCTTACCATACTTCTTATTCTTTCTCGTAAGTTCTTTCCTCCTCTCTTTGTTTTGTCTGAACTTGTGGTTGCTGTTGGAACAGAGTTTGAGGCCGACAGATCTCCTTTTAGATATGTTATGATTATGATAGTTGTTTTATAAAGCAATGCATATTTTTACAGATTTCTATTGTTGGTTTGTTGGTGTTGTTTTTTGTTGTGTTTTGTTTTTTTTTTTTCTCCTTCAAATGGATGATGTATACATTATTCTTGTTCTCCCCAAGCCCAGTTTGCACAATTTATCATTGAAAAAAGAGCACGAGCATCATTGTTTATCATACAGCTACAAGCAATAGCAGTCTTTGTCCTGGGCTTGTCCTCAGCATCTTAACTAAGTAGCCAATCCATGTCCAAGGGCATGCATGGGGGTATATTATTTATATGACTGTATTTCTTATGCCTGCTGCAGACTGTTACCAGCTTACTGACTCAGATACAATTCAATAGAAACCATGCTGCTTCCCAACCCTGCAGGCTTTTACCTGTGCAATCAAGGTTTTCAAAGACAGGAGGCGTCCTTGGAAAGCAGCATCATGCAGAGGGGATCTGTCCGCCCAGCTGCCTAAAACAGCAAATTCATAAAAGTTAATTCAGCTATGCAACAGGTATTTCCCCTGGGAGGATGAGGGAAGTGCAGTGACATGGAAATGCAAAATGGGTTTCAAATCAATGTAGTGTCAGCAGCGAAACTGTAGATAAATTGATTTCAGCAGAGCAGCTGAAGGCTCAGCACTCCGGAGGTTGGCCACTCGGTAAGGCGCCTCAACACCAGCTTAGAAAAATAGCTAAGAACACACTTCAGCAAAGATCACAGTTTTAATGCTGCTGGAGACTCAACCAAAGCCCTGCAGCACTCACGTTGTAAAAGATATCAGCTTCTGTCTGTTCTAGAGAGCTTTTGTCACAAGTCATATTCCAGTGCCCTTCACTTTATTAAGGGTTTCAAAGCAGAGAGACACTGGGACGCTCTGTCCATCAAATGAATTCTAGCATGATTCTGTCTGCTTTATTTCACAAATTGACAACTTCACAAATGACTTCTCTAGCTCAGACAGGTAGGTAACAAGTTTCATCCTCCTCCTCACTGAAAGTTTTCAGAACAGACATGAAAAAAATAGATCCTGCCCAAGCTTTCATTTTCTTTCCTTAATCATTTTAAGCTGTTGAACTGTGAAGAATTCTTCTTGCAGGTTTCTTCTTTTCCTTACTCTAATCTATTTATATGCCACGAAATAAGTCTGTCTAGCTGCTACCTATACTTATAGCCAGCTCAGATGAAGTGCATTTAACCTGCCAGAGAACAGAAACAATACCAGTGTTTGCATTTGTGCTCTATTGTACAATAGCCCCACAAGCATAGTGCTTGAAATCCACATCCCATTAATTATTTTCACTACACAGCACAACAGGGAGAAAGGAAAAGGTGATATATCTCCATTCCGGTTGTTACTTGAGGCAAAGAAATCTCAATGAGAGGCATGTGAACGTCCCTAGGGATTTCAGACCAAGGACAGATAGTACACCAGAGACTGCCAAAGAGTTGCAGGAGGAGGAGAGGAGGTTGACCTAAAAGGCCTATATCACCCTCTGGTTTAAAGCCAGCATTGCTTTAAGGAGTTTCCAGCAGCCCTTAGCATTCTTGTAGTGTGTTTTCATTACCTTAGTACTTCACCTTGTGGTGGCGTTACAGTTTTAAATAGTGTTTTCACTTTTCTCTCCATTTACTTAAGGAGCTGTCCCTGGGCTCCAACAGCAGGAGGATGGTGTAGAAGGACAGCCAGCACAGTGTGCAGCCAGGCTCCTGAGGGCCAAGTAGGACTCACTAAGCAAAATGATGGAAACAGGTAGAGATGGAGAAAGATTTGAATGAAAACATCCAAAAAATCCCAGCTCCCTCCTCATGCTGGTGTCTGAAATAGGCAAGCTCAGTTCAGAAAGTTAGAAGGCTAATGACAAAAAGTAGGGGCCTCGTCCACCAGGAGAGTTCAGAGGTAACAGCTTCATTGCCTTATTAAAACTCCTATGCATATTGTAGAGCATGTGTAAGCGCTTTTCACATGCATTGTGAAGGCATGTGTATGCACACACATGCTTCATGAGAACACATGCTGTTGCATACTTCCATGCTAGCCACAGCAACCTACCTCCCTGAAATGTGTGGCAAATATAGTTCCCATACAGAGCACTTCTTCCCTCCAGGGCTGTAAGTGACATGTTGGAAAGCACTGTCTTTTCTAAGTCAAGGATAACTTATCTTTAAGCTAAGTTTGGGAGCACTTCTGTTGCACCACACTGCAAAGAGAAGTCGCTGTGAAACTCTGCCTGTAACCCAATCCAGTGCCCCAGCAACAGTGTCACGTGGTCCTGTATTTTGAAAGATTATCCTTAATGGCTTTTGCAAATGGCAACTTGCAGATAAAAATATGTTGTAGTCTGCTCAATTTCAAGACACTTTGCAAAGAACCTGTACAAAGGGAAAGCTGGTGTTTGTCAACATCTGACTGCAATTGTATGAATGCACCAGGAAAAAACAGTGGCAGCAATAAATAATTGGACTTACACTCTAGAGAATAAGTTAATAACCCAGAGACAGACATTCCTGAGTATAAACGCTCTGTAAGAAATGTTTTGCTGCCATATTTCTCTTGGACAGCGGTGCTTTAGGTGACCATCTTGCACCACAGATAATCCCACTGACTTTCCTGTACCTGTTCGTGGCAGCTCAGTTCATCAGGAAGCAAGTGTCCAAAACTGAGTCACATAAAGGCCTGAAATGTCACAATGCTGAAAGAAATCTTCAGGCTGGAAAACATGCTTTCATTAGTAGTAAATTTAAAATACTGTGTCATTTTAATCGGGTATTTGCATTTCCAGTACTTCTAATATCTATATGTTATTTTATATAGACACATGCACAAGAGTGATGCAATGGAGGCAAAACCACTTGGGGAGAAAAAGAAACCCAAAAATATGAAATGACCAGCTAAGTGGCATAGTAAGTACAACATATTCCTGCAACATATAATTTTCAAAACCATTTCAGATTTATTCATTTTTATGGCCTGACTTGTTGACATAAATTCACAAAATAATTAGTTATAACCTCCTGGAGCTTTCTTTCAGGAAATCAACACAACAAAAGTTTTCCCTAGATATTCTGTCGGTAAACATAACAAAGCCATCCGTAACCCCAAACCAAAGAATGCCATGCTTCCTAGAACAATCTTTTTATCTACTGTAGTGCCTTGAGCAAGTGTTGTCCTCATTCGAGCTGGGTAGCTGTTGCAGTCTCAAATTTTGCACACCTATCACATGCCAACACATACCAACACTGCAAAGACCTCAGAAGTGAAAGGCACGTCAGGTTAAAACATTCACCCTATGCACTTAGCAACAAACTCTTTGTTTTATGGAATCTCAATGACTTTAATCCCAAAGTTATAAATATGTAGCAAATAGACGTCTGTCTGTTAAGAATGTCTATATTTTTACTTTACCTGGGACTATTCCATAGATCTCTTCTGCTATCCTGGCAGCCTCTTTTCTGTTGCCTTTAACAATATAGAAATGAGTCAGCAGAGCCAAAGAAATCTTAATTAAAAGTTTGAAGCAAAACAAAGCAAAAATAGCAAAATAAATGTTAGTGAAAGCCTGGAGTATAGAACTGCCCTCCATTTTGCTTTGAATAGTTTCTCAGGTCTGCTAAGTTGCACCAGGCTATTATTGGTATCAAATGTCATCTATTTTAAACCCTCCAGAACTTGCTGTTCCTCCATTACCAAAAATACATTGGTTTTCATTTGGTGCAGCTATTTGATACTAAGTAACAATACCAAGTATAAAATAGTCTGAAAATCCCACAACATGCAGGAAACAAATGAATACTTTTCAGATAGAAACTCTCCATACCACTGAAAGCCTACAAATCCATAGTATATTTATCCTCTGACTCAAGAGTTGGATTAACAAAGGCTGCATAGGTAAAGTTGCAGAAGTAGTACAGAGATACTGCAAGAAGATTACTCTTCTGTCTTTCTCATCTTGGTAATAGGCCTTGCTGGTATTCACATACAGAACAAGGCAAGCGTATTAAAGAAAGGCATTACCATGAAAGAAAGAAATAAAACCATGTACTTTTCAAAGCCAAGACTGAGAAATCAAAGTTATTCTATGAGTGAAAAAATATATTAAGTGTGAAATCAAAAACACACAATAACAGACTAGTATTTTCCATCATTTGGATAAAGAATGGTGTTCATTATTATCCCTTGCAACCAGCATTTTAGTCTTTCAAAAGAATAGGAACATTTTTACATTATCTGTCATCGACTCCAAGGTATATTGTTTGAAACTTAAGATGCGCCCTTTAATTTCCTTTTTTCATTTCTGAAAACAAATGGCTTCTACAGACAACAGACAAAGTATCTTTCTCTGCATGTAATTAACTGAATTTCTGTGGGATGGCCCATTTCCTTTTCATTTAAATATTTATTTATCACTATTTCCCTATAGATACAGTTAGAGGGAGATTTTTAATTTTTTTTTTCTTTTGTATCCTCTCTTTTCTCAGGTTCTTGCACCCTTAAACTCAAACACCTGTGAAGGGAAAGAGTGAGACATCCCAAAGAGTTAGTGGATATGCAGAATGAAATTTTAAAGCAAATTATTTCCCTGGACACTTAAGATTCAATTTGTTTTATAGCAAAATTGCTTAGTTAGTACTATACCACTCTGCCCTTCCAGTGCACCAGAACTTAGTGTATGCATGGACTTGTTGGAAAAAACACAGCAAAGTGTTGATTTTTTGTTTGTTTTTCATTTTTTCCAAGTGAAACTATTTTTCGAAGATGCCATGAAGATATTACATTTTTATCAGCATCTTAACACTTCACATAAATATTAAGCAAAATTTTCCTTTCACAGTAACATAAGGTGCTGGTAGAAATAATAACATGTACAAATCCAAGCAAGAAAAAAATCACCAATTTTTTAAATCCTCTTTGCCACATGACAAGAAGCTGAATATAATGATTACATGGGACAAGTTCAGCTGGGCAACCAAAGAGAAACACAGTTTAGTTTACTCAGAAGCAAATAAATAAATACATTAATTAATTAATTTTAAAAAAAGGAAATTTAAAAAAGAAAAAAAAAAGTAGAGAGATCCACAAAACTGCCTTTTAATATGATGCAAGCAAGAAGGAATAGTACTTTTTAAAAGGGTGACCACAAAACTGACATTTGGTTGCAAAGATGTGTTATCTGCCTTCACGGTCAACTGGGTAGATAAGAGGTAAACTTGTACGAGTCTGCAACCTGCAGAAAAATACAAGAAACTGGAGATCAGATAATTTCTGCTGAAATTCTCCTAACCCTGAAGGAGTATGAAATCCTAGTAACAATGAAGAGCTCTCCAAGAGGTCTAAAACAACATGAACACAATAAAAATGACTATCCCAGAAAGACAAGCTTCATTTGTATAGCAGCAAATTTGCCTTCCTGTTGTACTTCAGAACAGCACAACTTAAAGAGCTGAGTTAAATGGTGGAGTCATTTGAGAAAAACTCATAAGTTTTATGCCTAATCACTTGCATATAAGAACAGTATGGGATTGAACTCAAAAAGTCATCAGTAAGAAGGCAGTTGAACAGTGCAGTGGGAAGAACTGATACAAATGAAGGTGGTGGTCAGATAAGAAATAGCAAGATCTGGCATGATCACTCAGAAACATTTGGCATTTCTAAAACTAGAGGAAGGTGAGCAACAAAAGATAGGAATTACAGGAGATGTTACACAAAGGAAGAGCAACCACAGTACAGAAACAGGAAATGTACCTCCCTTGCTGCTTTGTGTCACTGTTTTGAATGGGATGGATTGTGAAACTTACTGATAGGTTGCAGGACTGAACTGAACACCTCAGCACTTGGTAGAAAAAACATGCCTCATTGAGAACTTCAGCACAATGCCTAACCCTCAACAGTCTTCTGTTAGAGTGATCACCAAACTGACAAATCAAAATATCCAGAAGATATGTTAGTCTTTCAGTATAAATGTCATGATGTGGTGAGTGAATAGTTTAACTGGATCCCTTGAAGAACTGGAAATTAATTTTTATATATCTTTAATGTAAAAGCCTGCAAGGAAAGAGCACAAAAGAAAAAACAGACTGACTTAGAGAAAAAAAATAAATTAATTATGGGTCACCCTAACTTTAGTTGTAAGAAAAATGTCAGATATGGCCTGAAGAATTTGGCCACGAAATAAAAATCAGAGAGGAACTTCCTCTCAAAAAAATTAAAAGAGGAATTAAGTCTATTTTTATGCTTGACAGTCTTTGAATTACAGCAGTGTATTTCTAAAGTATTTAATTGAGAGCTTGAGTAACATTTTCAATTAAATAAGATAATTGGAAAAAAAGACACAAATACATCATCTCTAAGGGAACCAGAACAAGAACACACGGTAGAGAACCTAGCTATTTTTCTATCGGTTTGATCTAATAAATGATACTACTTTCCATGTAACCATTGCCTCATTTGCATCCTTAGATAGCACAGTAATAACACTCCAGCTTTTAGAAAGGATTGTATGTAGTGACTCAGTGTTTGCTCTCATCAAGCAGATGAAGGATTCATCTCACCTACCCATAGCCCGTTGCACCACATATATTCTGGTTATCTAAACCTCTACTGTCTGGGCAGGATGACAAGGAATTCCAGCTGGTAATTAATATCTTATCTGCCTCCAACACCTATGACAGCACAGGATGACTCACCTTCTAGATGCATTCTACCAGTCCCTCCTGATTAAACAAGCTTAAAAAAACAATGTGTACTAGACAATCAGTTTATACATGGTACTGTTCAATAAATCCCACACAAACATCACCACCAGACTTAAGCTGGTGCTGAAACAAGTCAGAGCGTGAAAATAATCCTGTTAGGTTCACAAGAAAAATGTGTAATTTCAGTACAAAGACAGATTCAGGTGTAAAACAGCATCTTGCTCTCAGCTTTATTCTTCAATGAAAAGTATATCCCTTTCATCCAAGTGACTGCATCAGTGTAAGAACAATTAGAAAAACTATAGAAGTCAATGTACTTCCGGGTGTCATGAAAAATACAGAGCAAATATGACAAGAGTAGTTTAATGATAGCAAGTCAAGCAATATATTAAAAATATGTAAAATTGATCTTTAAAAAAACATTTGTGAAACTTTCAGGATGGGTTGTTCTTATGTTTGTTTACAGTGAGTTTTTATGTAACTGAAATTTTACAATAAATGAGCCTAAGTACATATGAATAAAAGGACTAGCAAAACAACATAAATATCAAAAGGAGAAAAAATAAGTTTATTTGTTAAAGGTGAAGAAAAGCTTGATCACAAAAAAGTAAGTTCATTACAGTGCAGCCAGCTTCTTACAGATCTATCCATATCCTCTAAAACACAGTCTAAAAGGCAAATCTTACATTCACACTTCACTTGATACTTGCTCTGGTTTAACACAATTTTCAACTACCAGCATGCAGTCTATACTTCACAGTGTCTGCAAATATTGTACTGGAAACACAACTTCTCCTTGTATCTGTGTGATAGAATTTTAATATGGATCAATGCAAAATTTTCACCGCTAAAATGAAGTAGTTCAAAACACTTCTGGGTGCACTTGGGTAGTCCCTTCTATGAAGGGGGGCAATTAAGCTTCTATACAGAAGGGTTTGGTGCATTCCCTCCTCCTCCACACAGGAGGCTTTGCTTGATGCAAGATGTTACTCAGTATCACTCCCTGGTTGGTAACATTTTCTCAGTATTTCACAATACTCAAATGTCACCCACAGCCATAACTGAAACATTTCGGTTTTATTAAATTGTATTTTAGGAATATGTGTTTGGAAATGAATAAAACAACACCTCTGCTCAACTTCTCATTATTGTGCTCCCTTCAAACAAAGTTTTCCATTTCACTCACTGCTGCTTTACAAAACTGTAAATGGTTGAGTGATGGTGACATCACCCCTTGCTCTATTGCACAAGATAGGTAAGTGAATCAAAGAGTTACATGCATTGGGAAACAGTATATGTGTAGTAAAACCAGTTATGGCTTAAATATTTTCGCTTATGCAAAGTGTTTTTAGTCATCACTAAGTCATCACTGTAAGCCCAACCACAAATGATGACAAGCAGCAGTATGCAGTATATTCCTATACTTTCTAATTGTATGTTTCCACATACTAATGAAAAATACCCATTCTTTATTGACAATGAAATAAACATTTAGATGAACTGTTTTATTATAAGTACACAATGTTCCACAAAAGAAAAAATAGAATTTTTTTTAATAGATTATCATAATCCTACTGAAAATTATGTCTGTTTTTGTAGCTGTTGTGGGAAACCAAAAGAAATAAACCGGAATCAATAAATTATTTTAAAAAATTGCATAACATCTTCCTGGAATGATAATCAGTATTTTTTTTTAAAGAGCTGCTATAAACTAGAATGTTGTTATTTTAAAAAGTAAGTAACTTTTGTAAGTAAAACATTACCTTATCTCCACCCATTTACCATAACATGTGGCACCATTTTAGCTGAACTCCACTGTTAACATAGAGAAAGATTCAAGTTGTAAGACAATGCATATTTTACATTATGTATCAAAAGCTAAAAAATTCTA